GTGTATTCTCTATCCCGCCTCTATCTTTATCCGCGCGCAAGCGTGCCCGCAGGCGCAGACGCGGATATATGTATGTATGTGTAATAAAACTATCTACGTATGAGATACAATTGGCTCGAGGCGTCGCCGCATCGCGATGGACGTTATATTGCGGATATATCGTTACGGCATTCGTCCCCGTTACGCTTCCATATTCCGGGATTTCTTCTTTGAATTGACGAACGCGCGCGCTCTCGGCGGAGTCTCGGCGGAGCCGACCGCGAAACGCGGTATCGGCGATTCCAAGCGAGCGATCGCGCGATTCCGAATGTATCGATCTTAAACGCAAACGGCACGCCTCGCGTCGCGCCGCGTCGCGCCGCGTCGCGCCGCGTCGCGCCGCGTCGCGCCGCGCCGCGCTACGTCGGGGCCACGTGTGCACGAAATTATTTACATAAATTGTTTCTGTACACGAATGTAAATAGTAATTTCCGCGTTGAATTAATTGTCGATTTCGCGCGCGTGTAATTATACATAAAATTAATCGCCGGATGGCTTCAGTATATTCGCTGTTAACGTACATTCGTATACCGAGAGCAAACCGCCCGGAGGCACCTGGACGCGACCATGATCGTTATCGCTATATTGTTGTATAACTACATCGTTCTTCGGATTCTTCTTTCGCCCGCGACGATTCTCTGCCGGTCATTTCAGAACTTATTGTTATGAGCGCACCCGATAACCCCGTTTTCATGTTTCACGGCTCAAATTGCAGCCGTCCAATGGGGGCCTGCGCCTCCAGTGTGACGGAAACGCATATAGGCGGAAGTAAACTCGGTATTTCTCACGTAAAATTAATTCGCATATTATCTATGAAAAAATACAGGATAGAAAAACGAATGCGGAAAACAAGCGCGGGCGAGGTCGACGCGACACCATTTTTGCGATGCAAATAGACTTCCATGATTATCGTGACGTAAGACCATCGATGACGTGGAAACTTTACAATCTGATAATTTTTTAATTACGTTCGCGAAGCTGCTATACCGTATATTGAGCTAATCATCAAATGCACGTAATACAATAATCCAATCTTTCGCTGTATTCATGCAGCAACAAATATGCTGAAAATTGCTCTCAGACCTTCATATCACGCTTTATATGACATAATCGTTTCGAGTGAAAATAATCCACTCGAAATTCCGATCATTTCTTTTATATTTCCAGCTTAATTCATTTCTGTCACATCATTTACGCGTCAAACGCGAGTGCCACAGTGAATCATTCGCAAGAGCCACGACTATAGCACGTCGGCTAAAGTTGCCGCGCTAAAGTTGCCGCCAAATTTACTACTCGAAAACGCGAGAACGACGACGCGGCCGATTCGACGGTGCCGTCCGCGTCCGAGCGGCAGCTTTTCATCCGTCCGTATCTCAATTGGAGAACGCGCGCGCTTTCACGGCGTACGAACAATATAATCGAAGCGCTGTCGAGACCCATTAATATCTCCGGAGCGCCGCGAGCGCGAACGCGCGCGCCGGCCATCGGCGCGGCGACACGCGTTTCCGCGAGCGCGTAGCGCGACGATGATCGATCTCTCATCGACGCTAAAGTCACCGCAACGGTCACCGCGACAGAGTTAATTACGTATGCAAGTATGCGTGCTTGTACTCGCAAATGCATAGCCCCACATAAATCTGCCGATTCAGCCTGCGGCGGCGCAACCGCCGCCGTGATGGCCGTTGTTGCCTCGCGTCCGCCTCCGCCGGGCACGACGCGCTGCACCGTCTCTTATTCTGCTCCTTAACCCGATGTCCGACTTGCGCGACGACCGCTCTCCTCCTCCCCCTCCCCCTTCCCCTCTCCCGCCCCCGGCCACAGTTCTCTCCGCCGAACGCCGAAGGTGGAGGAGAGAAGCGTCCCGACGACCTCTCGCAGAGCGGCCGAGAAAAGGCGCTGCATCGCATTTCGCGGCGTCTCCCGCGGCGATGCGCGCGGACTGATGTGGGCGAGGGTGGTAGGTAGGTTGGTAGGTAGGTAGATGAGTGGAGGAGAAAACCGGTACCCCTTTCTCCCCCTATGTTTGTATATGTGTGTGTATGTTTGTGCCGGTGCACCGTGTCTTCGGACCATTCCTCGCGGATTCCTCGTCGCGGATGGTGGAAAGCGAGTATTATTGCCGCGGCGAGCTGAAACGCGAGGCTTCCCCGCGATCATCGCGATAAACAGCGACGCACTCGGGATGGAACTTGAGTCTCGCGATTTGCCGATTGTTTCGGATATTTGATCGGAGATATGAGTATTCGGATAGGCAGGTGCCTGCAAATTTAGCAATAACTTCATTAGTCGATGTGTAGAGATTGCATCCCTTTATGGGATGCTTCATATGATGCTGATATTTTTCACGCAGAATGATGAATAGACACACGAAGGACGAGGAATTATTAAAATCTCCTTGAAACAATATATCATGTAGAATGTGACGTGAAAATCTGAGAGTGAGATTTTAATGTAAATTTGTTAATGTAATAAAAAATTTACATTATTGTGTATCGATGTAAATTTAACGATTTATTCAGAATAATATATTTGCTTCATTTATATAGTTTAATAAATCGTAAATTTTTCGTCATCGATCCTCTCAGGTCATAATAATTATGAAAGTCTATCTGGGTAACTAATATTACGCTGACCGAAAATTCTCCTATTAATGATAATTTTAAACATCGGAATTTCCTAGGATCTTTTCGAGTTCAGCGGAAATTCCGATCGGAGCGCATGGATTTTCGTAAAAATAGACCTTAAAATGAACCTATGTTAATCGTAATATTCCTCAATCATTATACATTAGATGAAACCAGTAATAAAAAATTATTAGTCTCGTTCACTGAGAGATATGATGAAACATAAAATATGAAATTTTAAACAAATCTTAAAATAAGTCATCACACATATGATCGAAACAAAACTTACTTTAAATCATAAAGTAATGTTTATGTTAATATAACTATCGATTGTTTATGTTAATATAATAAAAATGAGAAAAATGTTCATTTTATGATTTAAATTTTCCCAATTTTCAACATAATTTGTTTCAATTTCGTTTTCTGTTTTGTAAAGTTTTTCTATTTTCATTGTCGTTTTGTAAAATGAAATAAATGTTTAGAGAATAAATTTGAAAAACAGAAAAAATCTTTGAAAAAATATTGTGGAGAGCAAATTGGATCCATTCCAACTTTTTACTTAAAATCGCCCTTCTTTCAAACATTACGTTTCTGACTTGAGTCTTTGTAAATTTTTTAATTAAAATTTTTTAATTAAAATAGTTTTTGAAAGAAATTGAAATTAGATTCTAATTAAATCCTAGCACATTTTCCACATGAGTTTCCTCTATTTTATGACATTTCATGTCAACGCGACAATATTTTGCTATATTAAAAAAACTATCGCGAAATATATATCTTCAATAACGTGACAGCATATTCAAGCCATTTCTACTAATCAGATTCAATGAAAGATTGAATAAAACGTAATATAATGTAACAAAAGAGATGTTAAAAAATTTTAAGTTGTCAAGTTTCTCGGGCTTCGCGTACATCGTCATCACATTAGCGCATGGAGGCAAGTGCTTCTTTAAGCGGCCGAAATTAATCGCTTGGATCGTGTCTAAAAACCGTGCATTACGGAAACTGTGAAAAGCATGCCTCGGGACAATGGCCAATAATGAGCCTGGCCTTTCACAAGCGCGCGGAAAATTCGAGAGGGCAGAACCTCTAACTCGCGCACCAAACTGGCCAGCTCCCTTTCCACTGGGAGCACGATTAAAAGAATCCCCTTGGACGGTCGGTCGCTCGGCCGGCCGGTCGGCCAGCGCCCGCCAAATATTGTTTCGCCGTTAATTGCCTTATTAATACATACGAGAATTTCACGTTAATGTTCCAAGCCCTCAGTCGATTCAGCATTGCCGATGTTTGGCCAAAAACAATGGCTCGTTAAACTAGTGTTATCGTCACCCGCGAGCCGCCGCGTGATCGATACGCTAAATCGACACCTGCGTTTCGCGGATAAAACGGGGGTAAGCGCTAAATTCGAGATTGAGATACGGCTGCAGATTTAACTTGGCGATAATTCAAAATAAAACCTCGTCGGTTGGCTCGATGATGTATGCACGTGTGTATGTGTTTGTGTATGTATGTACGTGTTGTGTACGTGTGTGTGTGTGTGTGTGTGTGTGTGTGTGTGTGTGAATATTTCGGGTAATTCTCGAATGCAAGAGCAGTGAGACCAGAACGTACGCGTATAGATTTCCATTCCGACCGCGGAATATTTTTTAATGACTCTTCGATAAATTTGGGGAGTTCGATTTTACTCAAGTATGGAGACGTTAATTATTTTCGGATTACACGCGATTAAAAAAGAGAAGCTATTTTATATGACGATCTTAACAAACTAGATGAATGTTAAAGCTGTATTTTTCGGCTAATATCAGGCGAAGTTCGCTCTAATTGAAATCTTTATTTGAGACTTGATTGTGCGAAGGTACGAAATGTTAAAAATTAAGCAGAAACGATTATTTGCCCTTGATATTTCCGCCGAGGGGAACTTGTCTCCGCGGGAAATCGACTATTACAAAACAATGTGATAGTAATGGAACACTCTGCGCAAATAGATGCGTTAGGTAAATCAGTTTTATTGTAGATCGATATATTGTTAATTTGGTGCTGTGGTGCTCTACAGAGCATAATTAGTGAACCGCATTGATAATTAATTTTATGTACGAAACAGGTAAATTAATACAGAAGAGCCCACTTTATGTTGATCATTGCAAATGCAATGGCAAAAGAAACTCTCTCTCTCTCTCTCTCTCTCTCTGTCTCTCTCTCTCTCTCTCTCTCTCTCTCTCTCTCTCTCTCTCTCTCTCTTTAAGTCGCCCCCGTGTGTGCTACGAATTTAACTTGTCGCATTTATCCTCGTTTAATCGACATGGTGTATGAGTAACGTCCTCGTATTTTTAATTGCAGACGGAAATGTGAGGCCGATGGGAAGGAGGCGAAGGCGGAGCTGACGGCGCAACGCAATATGTTCCCTAGCGCTCAAATTAAAATGAGGTAAATAAATCCACGAGTTCCGGTAAATAAATTTACGAGTCTCGCGATGGTCTACTTCATCATGAGAAAGGCTTATACGCGACATACTTTACATAGATAAATCTACGTTGCGCACTGGCGCGAAACTGCTGCTGTCTAATCAAAATTTTTCGTATATCCAACGTTATAATCAAATGCTATTCTACCGCTGAGAAAAAAGAGATGACTCAGATTATCTTCTTTTTCCGACTAATAATTATTTTCAATAAAGAATATTTTCCTGATAATATGTTTAAAATATAATCATCGCAAATTGTAGAAAAATTGCTGAAAAAAATATTCTCTTTTGAAGAACATAAAATTTATGCTTTACGTAGGAAGCAAATCATTTTCTTCGACATGAAATATTTTCTTTATAATAATCTTAAAAATTATGCTTGTCACAAATTTCAGATAAATTATTGAAAATAATTTTCTTTTTAAGAACATAAAGTTTATTTGAAGATTTTATTAAGATTTGAAGATTTCAATTTAATAGGCATTCTTTAAATTAATAGTTTTGAACGAGGTTGAATTCTGAATTCCGATTTTGAGTAAATTGTGAATTCTAATTTTGAATAAATTTGACTCTGATAATAAATTTATTATCATAGATTGGCGGGTACATAAACTTCCGAGATATACGAAACAAATAACATTTGCTTAAATGCAAATGCTACACTTTTCTCTGTATACGCGAACACATAACCTAAATGTGACATTTCGAAAGAGTGCGAAATTATGAGAGCAACAAGAACGTACGATCACTGATCTGATGAGATTAAGTATAATTCGAGTACTCACTGATACACTCGTCGCCGATTTGCCGTCGACACCGTCGCCCTCCGTTGTCCATTGCATCACGTCGAATCTTCGTACCTCATTTAAACCGCTCATCGGTTGTTTACATGTCGTTCACTCGATACGCGAATACGAGACAATCATTATCGGAATTACGCGAGTGGACGCACTGTCGATCGCCGACACGACGCCGGCACTTTCCGCCGATTTTATTTTTTACAACTGCGCACTACGCGTAAAATTGCACCTCACGCAAGGCGGTACTGCACTAGCAGCACTTTCGGCGAAAAAAGGACCCATTCGCGATCTGATGGTAGAAAGGGAAAGGGGACGGTCGAGGTGTACTGAAAGTGTACCGAGAGCACCGTCGAAAGTATAATATAATCACGGAGAAGGAAATCGTAATTCTAAAACAGCGAACAAAATGATCCAACGAGACTGCGGCGATCGCTTGTCGGATCGCTTATTTCGCGATCCCGGCGGCGCGGCGCCGGCACGTCGCGAGGCTGAACGAAGCTCCGCGTGAGATTCCGTCGCACAATTCGACCTTCTCATGTACTCGACGCGACACGACACGCGCGTCCGATCGCCGTGCGGAATTTCGGGAGGGCGAGACAAAGAAACGGCGATCGGGATGAACAGCTGGCGACAAATTGAGACTCTACCATAAGTCACTTACGAATCGACGCACCGACGTCTTTAACTTCTCGTTGCCCGCATCGTTCTACTGCTTCAGATGCTCGTTTGTTGTCATGACGCACTTGCACTCATGATATACACACGTGCCGATCAGAGAAACGCAGAAAGCTCGCTCGCGTGTAAGGAAATAAACAAAAACAATGTACGACGATGGTGCGGACAGCAGTTCACTGACTGTATTCTTCACGAGACTCCGCGGAAATGGCGGTTCGACTAATAACGCGAAGTTGTCACTAACTCGGCTGTACTTTTTTGTATGTGACGTCACGCGTACAGTCTGATTTCGCTACACTATCGCTACACTATCTGTACTTGGGAACGCTACTTGGCAAAAAGGAAAGCAAAAGGAAAGCATCATTCGCTTACTGGATACAATAAAGAGGAAAGGAGAAAGGAAGAGTAAGTCGCAAGATGGCATACAGAAAGCGTAGCTTAGATAAATATATAATCATCTGATGAATTAGAATATCTACGTAATTACCTGACGAAACATATCCGATCGACCAAAATGATCGAATATATCTTTTACTTAACCTAATATCATTGTCTAATAGTCTAATCTGATTTTACCTCAACTAACATTTTGATCGTACGTCGTACGATCAAGCAGCGGTCGTTAATTAAATCACTCACCGAATAATTCGCCATCTCGACCTTCGATTCTCTTCGTCCTCTCCGTCGTCTCCGTGTTTCCCGTCGACTGTTGCACGGTGCTTCGGTCGTCCACTCGACGTTGCATTCGATTCAATCACCGCTCACCTGTTCGATAGTCATTCGTTATTCACCCGTCGCACAGACACGAATCGTGATGTGATCGCGAAGACGCGGTTGATCGCAACTCCACGTAAACAATCCACGCAATATACACGGCGATTAGATGCAGTCCACCGCGATGTTTACGACGCGCCGCGAGACTCGATGGGAAATGGCTGTTTACCCAACAGCGTGAACTTGCCGTGGTTGTATTATACTTTTCGTACGCGTGACGTCACGCGTAAGGTAAGGTTCGTTCCCCTTAATTGCTACACTTTCTATACTTGGTATTTGGGACAACGGAGAGAAAGAGGGAGGAAGATAGATGAATAGAAGTAGAAGAGGACAGAAAACGTAATTAGAAGAAAGTTACAACTTATTAATTATAATTATAATCGTAATCGCAATTACATACATTTTTATTGATCCAACACCGCGACGTCGTTACTAACCTTTTCGATCCCGCTGAGCTATGAATTACATTAGTTTTATCCTGTATTAATATTGACCAACTCACTTTTCTACATGTATCAACATGCACACACCTAAGATTCCTCGGAGAGAAGAGCAGGAGCGAAAGGGTTAACGAGTGCAGATTGGACGAGAAGCTGCGATCAGTAATTTCGAATCACTCACCGACTAAGCGCCAATAACGCCGTTGTCTTTGTCTTCTCGTCGACAACTTTGCACATCGCTCCGAACATTGTCCGTTCGTCACTCGTCTGTTCGACATTCGCTCATCGACCGGAGAAATGATGAGGGATCCAAATTACGATTCCGCGCGGTCAATCGGCCGCGAAGTTTCGCGCTCGTTACAAAGAAGCTCGAAGTGCGGAATGGCGGCCGGCATCGGCATCGGTGCGAAGTTGCCGGCGCATCGTGTTCGACTTTTGAAACTTTACGACTTTGAATTTTCCCGACGGCTGGGGCCAATCGCGCACCGAGCGACATCTACTCAACGTCAAGTCGAATCGTACAATCGTATCGAGTTAATCGATATGATCGTCCGCAGATTGCTGTCGCCAAGCAGTTCGCCGGCCACCTCGCCCACGATGTCGAATTCCTCGTCGCCAACACCACCGACGCCGGCGGCCCCGGCTTACAACCAGAAGATGACCGGTATTCCTTGCGTAGCGGCCGCTTCGAGGTACACCGCACCGGTCCACATCGACGTCGGCGGCACGATATACACATCCTCCCTCGAGACTTTAACCAAGTAAGAATGCGCTTCGCACGCTTCGAGATCCTGAACCTTTCGCGAATCATGTGGGATTAAATGAATCCCAGCGGTTTTGAAACTGCTGTATTACGAGCAGACAAATTTTCGCCCCGACTCAAGACTAAGCGCAAAGAAAGATCATCTCTCTGTTTTTGGATTTCGGAAAGATGTTACTCTTATCTCCTAAACCTTATTCCAAAACCTCACATGGTTCAGGATTTTTATCCACCCGGTTCGTGAAGGGTTAACCTAGTCTGGGATAAACTGCGAGTGAAACCTCGCGCGCTTATCCCCGGTATAATATGCGTCACGACGACTCGATGTGAATCGCATTGCGACGTATTGAGTGTAAACAGCATCATTTGAACCGTTTTATTGGGTATTCGTATATTCCGAAGAAAAGGCGCTTGTTTTCAACAGGTTTCCAAATGCGTTTGCGGAAAATCGTGTTATTGAAACAACTGCAACGATAATCTTTATCTCGCGAAGTGATAATCTAACGATTTATTTTGGAAACCGGAAGTACTAAAGTCAAAAATATAATCGAAATTCAAAATACGCAATTAAGGATGACTAAAATAAAAATTATTTACTTGTAGTGACGATAATCTTTACGTTAATTAGCACGCTGAAATAAGGATTTAATGATCTAATTGTGAATTAAAAATATTTAAATTTAAAATATAATTACAATTGATGACGAAGAACAGGATGAAAACTATTATCAATAATTAAAACTAAAAAATTAATTATTTATTTACTTGAGGATAATAATATTTATTATTACAAAAAGAATCAAACTATGGTCGAAATGTTTGTATTTTTATGAAATGGTTGCTCTCTCTCTCTCTCGAGAGAGAGAGAGATCACTCCTCAGTTGTCATCTACATATTTTTATCGCTACGTATATTGACTCATCTTTAGCGTCGGATTGTAGATTGTCATAAAAATGAGCTTGAAAGATTGTCAGCTTAATTATTTGTGTCTTTATCCAACGCAAGGGAAGAGAAATAAGCTGCCCGATGTTCACGTTTACGTCGGAATCGCGAATGAATATCTTTCGCGGAGAAGACACGTTCTTCCGCGAGAGCGCGGAGAGTGCGACTTCTAAAACGGCATGAAGAAACCTCGAGCCAGCTAGTGAGAGAGTAGAAAGGGAGCGTGATGTCCGGATCGCGGAAACGTGACCATCGACAACGCTCCAGGATGCTCGTAGCGGGCAATATCTCTGAGAACATATCGCTCGCAATCAGGCACACCGTTACCGTGCCCGGCAGTGTCCAAAGGCTATTTGCGGTGTGCCCCGTGCACTTTATGCATAAAAGAGACGTAACGTGAAAGCACAACTGCACTTTGCTTATAGAGGGGGTTTTAATCTTCTCGAAGTATCACCCCGCAGGTATCTCCTCTTTGCCGCGGCAAAAAAGCTCCGCCAGAGTCCGTGAGGCTCCGGCACTGATATTAAATCGACAACGCTCGCCCGCGCCCGCGAGAGATTCTGCGCTGTCGAGCGAATCTAATAATATAAATGTAATTAGAGAAAAAAAGATCGGCTTTATGATATATAATTATAATTCCGTTCTTACATACATAAAATTGATATGGAACGAACAGCGTAGAAATTTTCTCAAAATCCTCTCGGCTGCGGCATAAATTCCCCCACTGGAATGCCAATCCATGAAATTTATGCCAAGATAGATCATCGTGCTACGATAATGGTTGAAGACTTCATTATTACCTCAAACACAGACTCTCCATGCGGAATCGAAACGAAAATACTGTAGAAATCCAAGCCATTTTAATGGGCAAAACGGTATACTTTTTATAGGATCGAATGGAAAATTCCATTTTTATGTCAACTGTTAAATTCAATAGAATAAAGAGCTGAAGTTATTTAAAGGAAATAATAAATTTAATTAAAAATTAATAGAGCAAAGAATAATAGAGAGAGATATAATTGTTAAAAATTTTTAAGATAAATTATTAAATTAAAATTAATGTAATTTGTTAAATTAAAATTAAAATGTAGTTGTTAATGTAGTTTGCAATATTCTTCAGCCATTACATATTATGAAGAAGAGCAATAAAATTCTAATTTCTTTGATTAAAAATTATGAGCAAATACACATTTATATAAAGCTAACTTTGATGACAAATTATTATATAAACGATTTTAAATTATAAATAGCGATAGTTCTAATATTTACTTTCTAGTTTTAGTTTTTATTAATGTAATAAAGATAAAACAAATATTTTCTTCAGCTTTATTGATTTCAAATTTGAATATAATATAACTGATTTATATATAGTTATATATAGTATATATAGTTATATATAATTTATATTTTATATATAGCATTATATATAGTTATATATTAGTGATTTATATATAGTATAGTTTATAGAAGAGATTATCAAACCCAGAAAAGTCTTTACAGGATTTGTTCTTGAAGACATTACACTTTTGATCTGAACCTGCGTAAACTCTCCGACCAGAATTCATAATTTTTCGGTAAAATCACGCTGGATCTCGAATTAGATTCCGGGAAATCTTCTACAGAACACGGAGCACATCGCTTGCGAGTTCCTCACTATCTACTTCGACAATCTCAATCATCTTGTTAAAAGTTCCCAAAAGAAACGCATTTTTTTTCACTACGTTGTTGCTCAGGTAGATACTGATCTTTCTCCTCTCCCCTCCCCTCTTCTTTCTCTCTCTCTCTCTCTCTCTCTCTCTCTCTCTCGCTCTTTGGCGCAGGTCATTAATTAGTCGCGCTTGCACAAAGATCAGATTCTCAAGCTGATATCGTCCGCTGCAGCGGCGGCGGCATGTTTCAGCAGTTACCAAACATACTATCGCTAAATGTCACCGCAGCCTCTCGTGATCCTCACAACGCTCGTTACGTTGCGTTACGAGCCTTGGTGTGCGGTGGTCTCCGACATGAGCGAGCAGGTAAATATCTAGCGCACTCGAAGAGGCGAAGAAAATCGTTCCTTTCACAAGGAGATCATGGATGCACCGACCGCGTCTCTCCCTGCCGCGATCGGTGGATGCGTTCGTGAGAAAGCTGATCATAATTGACAGATGGCCTTATCGCTCCTCTCTTTTCCTCTCGAGCCCCAGATCGACTCGTTAACTGAATAGGCAATAAGTTCTCCACGAAGGAAATATTTCTATCTAGACTGACCTAATGAGTGAAAGAGAGAAAGAAGGAGAGAGAGAGAGAGAGAGAGAGAGAGAGAGAGAGGATGGAGGGAGCGGATAGAGGGAGAAATGAAATGGATACTTTCGGTGTATTCAATACGCTGACATTGTCGATAGTTTAAACGAGAACAAAGCGAGACGGAACTTTCGCGGTGGCAGAACATTTTAATTTCGCCGTGGGAGATCAATTCGATGAAATTCATTGAATCGCGTCGCGATAAGACACAAGTCGGCCCACCCCTGGCCGGCCGAAATTTCATCTCGTTTCGGTGTTATTTCTATTATCACCATGATTTTGTCACGATTAAATGAGTATCAAATTCGAAAGAGATTTCAAAGAGGATTTTCGATGCAAGAGGCGTTGCGTTGATGTCGCGTTCGTTCGATGATGACGGATTTATTAATCGCCTGCTCGACGAACTTTACCGAATCGCTGAAAATCAAGCTACCGTCGAATCGGTGGTTACTCTTCGCGAGACCAGCTAAAAATTAACAACAGTATGTGATAGGAAAATTTACATGCGGCGCACGGATTATCGTTAGTCGAGTTAGTGGAGCGCAGGTCCGTTTCCTATGAACCGTTACGACGCGCATCGCGAACACACCCGTGATTTAATCTATGGAAACGTCGACAGGATAACGTGTCGCGGCACGTCGAGCGCGAACAACGTGAAGGAATATATATATATATATGTGTGTGTATGAAAGAGAGAGAGAGAGAGAGAGAGAGAGAGAGAGAGAGAGAGAGAGAGAGAACGGAAAGGTTGGGAGAGAGGCAGGGAGAGAGAGAGAGAGAGAGAGCGAGCAAAATGAATATCATGTAAAATCGACTTGACCGTCCCTCCATCGCCGTCGTCATGCTTTGCTGCATCTTCCTCCCTTATTACACGACATGACCTTATTGTTTTGTCGAAAGTATCGGCCGTGGTTGCATCAGTGCGACCACGAGAAAACTATAAGAGTGGATTGACATCGACGAGCAACGGTATCGTGCTTGTATTTATATCGTAAAACAAACGAAAGAGAAAATTTTTGAAAAGGAAAATTTGCAACAAATTCGTGTGAACTTTCTGGAAGTCAAACTGACTGACTCCACTTTTTATAAATATCTTAATTTTGTAGCTGAAGTACATATGTGTATGTGTGTTTATGGTCAATGCTTGATTTCCTAAAACTGTTAAATTTGTTAATTATTTAAATTTGTCAAAAGTGGAGTTAATGTACATGATCTGGTTTTTGACGAGACATATATGTCTTGACATTTACAAATTGCGAAAAAGCCCATCTAAACCAATATAAAATGTTTATTTGACGAATATTAATAATATATTTCTTTAAATTTGAATTCTTTCATTTAAATAATTATTTTTATGAGAAACTGAAAACTACATTTCTTGAGAAAACATATATTTTCTAATTTAAAAAATATTTTCTCTCAGAGCAAATATATCGTCATATCGTCATCGCCGCACATTAATACAAATAAATATATCATCAATATCCGCCAAATAAATATTTTTTGTTTTTTAGATATTTTTTCACTCACCGATGTAACCCGCATAATGCGGAAGATTGAAGATCACAGAAAACCGTAGTAAATCGTCGCAGCATTAATTTACTCCAATTAATCTGCTTGCTTGACAAGACCAACCCGTTGAATAAATTACGCTAAAATAACAATGGTAATAAATATAAATGTCGAAATATATTCGACGGCTAATATAATTTCTGAGATCGCAAATGGACTCGAAAACGTTCCAACCTCCGTGTTCCCTCGTACTCACTCCATTTG